TATCCTTTAATCATACATGTACAGTTACAGCATACTGCTGGATTGTTATAAGCCAACTAAATAAAAAGCAGAGCAGATTTTGGATACTGTTAGGCAATGAGGAAGATCTATGAATGTATAAATTAAATAGACATTTTGAGGTAAAAAACATGTGAACACAAATTCAGTGCTTTTGCTCAAGTAAACATTGCTGGGAGGACTTGGCTACAGTTCAATTTAAGTAGCAAGCATTTCAAAATACAGAGCTGCATATGTGTAAAAGTTAGACAAACCCTAATCTTTGGAAGGGTTTTCCAGAGGTCACTAGAACTTGGACCATATCCATTTGTATAAACTCTTGTATGTTTGGAAAAAGCTGTCTAACTGAGAACACTCACTAACTTCTGCTGATAGGTGGGCTGAATCTGGAATAAAACTCAGCTACTAACGATTGCATAATGTTATCTATGGGCTTAAGCACAACAAGGTTATTCATAGCCTATGAAACCTGAAGCGGCTGAGTTTCGAAAAGTTGGAAAACTATGAAAGAAATGTGGTTTGATTTGTTATTAATAGTGTCACTATCACAAATTACCACCTTGATGCTTTAACTGCTTGTGCTCACTCTTGACAAAGGATTGCTATATCACACAATTATCTTTCTGGACAAAATGGTTTCTATAGGTAGGGGATTTGTACAGTTGTGTTACTCTTCAGTTTTCTCTCTTTCTTTCCTTTTTGCACATTTCTTTGATGATCATTACATAGCATGTCAAGCTCATACCTTTGTACAAACTTTCAGCTTCCATCTATCTGCCACCGAAATGCCTGTGAACTTCTCACCCACAAAGAAGATGACACTGACACCTGTGAATTTATATCTGAACTCCTCTGGGAAGGGCTAAAAAGTCATCTTTCCCTCACTCGCATCTTTGGTTTCCAAATCTTGCATGGAATGAACTGAACTGACTTGACAGCTCTTGGGAGGATTTATATCATGGCTGAGCTAAAAGTGGCGTGCATGCAGTTAGTTAAAATGATGATGCTGGCAATGATTTTTGAAATACTCTCTGAAGCAGACTACTTCTGCCACATGGCATCTGCGTTTCCCTTTCCATACACCCCAGACCAAATATCTGTAACAGATAGCCTGACTTCACTTAACTTTAGCCAGTCACAGTTAGGTCATCTGGGCCAAGGCTTACCCTGGGGAAAGGGAAGGAAACTGACTCCACAGGAAGGTGAAGAGGTTCTCCCAGTAGAACTGGAGGAGGGGAACTAACTCGGCTTAAGCCGTGTCATCATAATTCACTGCTCTAGACACATTAGCAGGGCTGTTCAGAGGGTATTCTGGCTAGCTACAGCAAAATCTGTTTACATGATAAGGATCCTGGTGCAAGCATCAAATATTTAATTTGCAATGAGTTTAGTTAGAGGCTAAGTTCTCTCTTGTGCAGGACAAAATTTGAAGCTATACTCAAATAACATTAACTCCCCAATAAATATAAATCTGCATTATTTCAGCTGTTATAATATAGATATCTGAGATAACCAATGCAATCCCAGTGATTTACATGACCTATTGTTCTCCACTGAATGCTATTGTTTTGGAAGTGACTGTGATATACATTGCACTCTATACCATATTGCAGCTCACTAAGGAGTCAGGCATATCACAGTTACAAATACCACAGAGAAGAACTTTTCCTGCTTAAACAGTCTCTGCTTGCTACCATTTTTCAGAAGAAAATTTCAATTTAGCAAATGTGAAGTGAATTTTACTGAAATGGCGAAGTACTGGGTATGCAATGGAATATGCATTTGGATATTTTGCAGTTTGGAGACTAAAGTTCCAGTCACTCCTCTGCTGTATACTTCTCTTGCCACCTTGAGCACATGCCTTAGGGTCAGATTTTTAAAGGAATTAAAGTCCATAAAGAAGTGGATAGATACCTGGATAGAAGTTAGGAACCTCAGCATTTTTGAAAATCTCACTAGATGCTCATCTGTATCCAGTGGGGCTGGCACTAGGGGGGCTTACGCACTGCTTAGGATGAAGCAGTAATAACAGCCACCAAATATATTGTTTCCATCAACTTCACTCGCACCATAAAAGTTGTTCCCACACTCCTATCTGAGGGTATATCTACACTTGCACCCTCTTTCGAGAGAGGGATGCAAATGAAGAGATTTGAAATTAAATCCCAGCTTCATTTGCAAATATCCCACACTTCATTTGCATATTTGCGGTCTGAAAGCTAATTTCAAAATAATAGACGCTGTTAAGATGCGGTTATTTTGAGAGAAAACCCTTCTCTCGAAATAACCTTTATTCCTCATACTATGAGGTTTACCAGTTATTTCAAGAGAAGGGTTTTCTCTTGAAATAGCCACATCTTAACAGCATCTGTTATTTCGAAATAGCACTATAAAGTGAATATGCAAATAAAGCGCGGGATATTTAAATCACGGATTCATTTGCAATTTTGAATCTCTTCATTTGTATCCTTCTCTCGAAAGAGGGTGCAAGTGTAGACATACCCTGAATCTTTAAAAATATCTGTCCCTTGGTCTCTGTGCCTCAGTTTCCGATGTATAAAATAGGACGAATACACACCTTCCTTACAACATATGAGGATACAGACATGAAAAACTTTAGGAAGTATAGGCAGTCCCTGGGTTACGTACAAGATAGGAACTGTAGGTTTGTTCTTAAGTTGAATCTGTATGTAAGTCGGAACTGGTGTCCAGATTCAGCCGCTGTTGAAACTGATCAGCAGCGGCTGAATCAGGATGCCTGGGGCAGAGCAGCTCGGGTGCTGCTGGGTTGGTCCAGTAGCGCGGCCGCTCCTCAGCACTACTGGACCAACCCGGCAGCACCCCAGCTTCTCTGCCCCAGGTGTCCCCAAGTCAGCTGCTGCAGAAACTGATCAGCGGCCGACTCCAGGAAGCCCGAGGCAGAGCATCTCTGCCCCGGGCTTCCAGGAGTCAGCCGCTGGTCAGTTTCAGAAGCGGCTGGATCGGGGGCAA